CCAGATGAAATACTATATGACTAAACACTTATTTGAATATGGTTAAAAGAAATAGATAAACTTTGGATATAAATGGGTCCTAAAGTAAGAGGGATGAGATTTATAAGTAGTATAGTATTTTTTTTATGAGATAGGAAATGTAAAAGTATTGGGATGGCTTATGTGAATGAAATGTTTGGATACTTAAATGTAATTAATCTTGAGAAAATCATAACTGACAAGAATGTTTTGAATACTGAGGGGAAGTTAAACTTAAATAAGAATTCTGAAAACAGAATCTATAGTGACTTAATAAGACGACCTTTTGCAAACACAACTGAAACAAGCTGATTAGAAAAGATGTTATACACTGATGTTATTCTTATCTCTATAAACACTAGAAAAATGCTTACATTCAATTTTGTATGTATCAAAAGTACTAAGAACTGTATTTGCTCAATGTTGATAAAAGGAGAATACAATTAACCAGTGGAACAACCTGCCTCCAGAAGCAGTGAATGCTCCAACACTGGAAGTTTTTAAGAAGAGACTGGACAGTCATTTGTCTGAAATGGTATAGGGTTTCCTACTTGAGCAGGGGATTGGACTAGATGACCTCCAAGATCCCTTCCAACTTTATTATTATTGTTGTTGTTGTTATTACTACTACTACTACTACTACTACTACTACTACTACTACTACTACTATTGAAAGAAGAGAAGATCAAGGAAAGGTATCACTAGCTAGCTAGTATGTTGACTATGGAATTATAGAAATTAATTATTATTAATTGTTAAATATATGAACCCAGACAACATGTTGTTTACTAAGCACTAAGGTTTGTTATTGTAAAAAATTAATAAAATATATTAAAAAAGAATATGATTTTGGGATCCTTAATGTTCTGTAGTAAGGCCAAGCCAATGTTAGAATTGCCAGTGTAAATAATAGCCCTAACATCCTTCTCTGTTGAGCTAACCAGAAAATTGCTCTGCAATTCTTTCTGATATCATTTCAGGCTTTGTCAGAGATTTCTTATTCTCACCTCTTAAAACTTCCCACTTTTTACATACAGCAAGATTTTCCAGCAAGACCAAACATGTTTTAAAAACCATGGTATGACAACTATTACGGTCAATGTATCCTGGATAATTTTACTGAAGTTTGAAGGCAGGGCACCACTTCAGCTCCTTTCAGTGCAGAGATTATAGTAATATAATTAAATGAGGAAGACTAAATCAATCTCTTCAACCATCCTCTGGGCTCTCAGTTTTGCCTGCAGACATTTCTTCCAATATTAACAGAACCATCAAACTGAGTAGTAAATTACTCCAAAGAAAATTAAATAGTTTGAAATAACTTGTCTGAATCCATTTTAATTCTATATCTTAGAGGTTTTGATTTAACCAATTGCTTTCTTTCAGCCTGTTCTACTAACAATCCATTTCTGGATAATTATGCTGTATCTTTTAGTACCTGGAGAGTTTGTCAAACATGTTCACAAGTTTCATTGCTTCAAGCTCCTTCTGTTCATCTGTCATTCCTTCCATTGGATTGGGAAGCTTTTCCTCCACACGTCCAGTAATAGGATTAATGCTAAATAGTTGAATCACATAGTAACCAAAGAAAAGAAGGTAGAATATATGAAACACAAACAATGAATCAACAAATCCAATTCATTTTTTTAAGGAAGTTAACTATAATAAGCTTTTCCACTTGTAAAAATCAAAAGGGCACGGGGACTTGGAAGATGTGATAAATGTGCTAAAATTTATATCATATATTCCCTTCTTGGATGTTTTTTAATGGATAAAAATAAAAAGGTATGTTGAGTAGCCTAAAAATATAACTCTAATATTCATTTGATTAACACAAACACATGCTACTAAAATGAAGAGGAAGAGGAACTACATAGAATATTCAAATAATGTTGGATTTCTCTTCCCAAAACATGTCCATTACATTATTCTTCTTTATTTAGTTTTGTCCATTAATTTTCTGTTACTATTCTTGCTTCTAAAGTTACAAGGAAATTCTCAGTTTAATACATCTTACATAGAGCAGTTGCCTTTCTACACGTTACACTAAATGTACGTAAATGTACAATAAATGTGTGCAGAAAAATTGGAGGAAAGTGAAGCAGGAGGGGAACATATATTACATTACATGTTTCCCTCCTGTTTCACCTTCCTCCAATTTTAAAATAAGATGTAATTTTAAAAAATGTCAAAATACCTAGAGTACAACTTTGTGCATATCTACTGGGCAATTGCCTCTTGATAACTGTCACTGTCAATTAGATCAAGAGCTGGAAGTAAAAGGAATTGTCTATTTGTGAATAACTTGACAAGAAGTGAAAGAGACCACTGAACAAAGAAACAAATAGAAAAGAAGAAACTTAAGAGAAATCAAATAACAAAATGAGGCAGGGGCAGTCAAAAAGCAATAGGTCTTTTTAAAAAATGAGATTCCACTGAGTATCAGGCGGTATTTTTGATGGTAAGAGCTCTTAAGCAGCGGGCTTTGTAAAACAGCTGTGATATTCATAGGGAGGCTGGTTGATTTAATGGATCCTGCAAATGGATTCCTTCTATGCTAAGATTCTAACATCCAAATATGACAGGGATTTGCACCAAAGAAGCAGAAGCAAAGATCATATTTAAGGAAGCAAAGCATGAAATGCATCCCTACTTGGGTTTTGCTTCCTTGTATTCCTCTGTATCAGTATCTTCATCCTCAGAGTATTCTCCTTCGGTCTGCCCCCCAGCCATGAGGCCTCGGGCTGCCAGAAGACCAGCAGCATTTCCATATCCCGTGTACTTCACAAACCGTGACACTGTGGAGACACAGAAGGTCAAACTTTCTCTTATTATTGTAGAAGCAAATGAACTTAAATAGTAGCAAATACGTCTCATCTTTATCACACTAGCTTATCAAGGAGGTATATTCTTGCAAACCCACAAATCACAGATAAGGAAGAAGCTGAGCTGACCAACAGGATTCCTCTCTGTTACTGATACAACTGGATGGAAGCATGACTCATTTGGATTGGAAAAACTCTTTGATTGTCACCACTTGTTTAGAATCATTCTTATATAGTATTATAGTGAACCTGGTAAAAAATTAATTCTATTCTTCTTCCGGCCACTTCCTTACCTTTTCCTCAAGTAGGTAAATTAGGTAGATGTCATATATGTTAGAAGGTTGCATACTGTCTACAAGGCAAAGCATTTAAAAGAGAAATACTATCTGAAAAAGGCATCTTTGCAAAGCTACTTTTCCTGTTGTAATGTTCAAGAAAACCAATAGTGGCTTTGCTGTGAGGAAAAGTCTGATTAACAGCTACAAAGAATTCCAAGCCTGGCAGCAACACATTTTATTCAAGTTTATTTATCTTCTTCCCTAATTTTAAAATTGGTCCAGTGAATGACATTTCCCTTCATTTCCAGGCAATATAATTTAATCCAATAACCTATGAGATCCCAGTTTACCTGCATTCTTAATATTCAACCACCATCCAAATAACATCTCAGTTAGAGGGATCAGCTTCTTCCTATTTACTTATTCAAACTGCAAGCATACAACAGGCCCGAGATGAACAAGTGAGAGCATGGATAATTACCACTTTCCTTGCAGAGTACAAACAGGAACTCAGCAGCACAGTGTTTTACATCCGTGTCAATATGGGTCATGAGGCGCACAAGTTTATTTCTCAGCAGGTTTCCCACCTCAGGTCTATTTTTCACATCCCGTAATGGAGGAAGTATCTGTGAATCCATGGAAAGCCATAAGTGATGCTTAGAGCCATATTAAACTTGGTTTCATGAAACCCTGAAAATGCTGCATCAAAAATGTCTCAGAAAGATTAATTTCATCCTACTAAATACAGATGCCTTCTTGATGTACTGATATATTGATAATTTCTCCTGTTTTGGTTTTTGGGAACTCTGGACTTGTGTACTTGTGGGTAATGTTACTTCCTTCTTTGCCTCGTGGGTCAGCTAGGACTTAGTTTGTGGAACCAGAGAATTCAGACTAAGGGAAAACTGAGGGCTGGGGAGGAGCTTCAATGGCACCGTTGGTGGGTTGTTTCACACTGTGATAAGTGAGCAGTAAACGGGCTCTACTTAACCTCTGCCTTGCCAGAGTGACTTGGGTGAACATGTACCTACCTGAAAGGGATACCAAACATTTATGTTCTAAATAAGAAAGCAGCAATGTATGGTCCACATACAGCCCACAGATTCTTTTTTGCAGCTCAGTCCTCACCGTGAATTACACTGTGAAAACTCAATTACAAATCCTTGAATAATGGTGACAGAGGTTTCCCCCTTTGTTTGGCAAATGATAAAATAGAATTAAGAGAAATACTCAAATGCATTTCTCCTCTTTAAACACTTGTTGTGCTTGTTGAGTACCACATACTCCCGATCACCTGTTATAAAGATATGTTGTCTCAGTGGTAGCAACTAGTCACCCCTGGCTGATTTTGGAAACTAAACAGGGTTGGCCCTGGTGCGAATTCTAGAAAAAAGGTAGAGGAAAGCAACTGCAAATCACTTCCACAGCAATACCAAAAGAAATGCAGGGATATGATTATTCAGAACACAACACAACATGAAAGTCTTTACATTTTATATAGCAATTGCACCATCCAGAAAATGCAAGAATACAAAAAAATCTCCCTCAGAACTTTATTAAGAAATATCCTGATATCCACAGATTGCATACCAATAGCACCAGAAAGACATTTTCATACTATCAATGCTGTACATTGTCTTTTAAGTAAATTTTGCCTCATACTGTAACTGGCTCAACAAATTTTAATTTATGGGTCCTGCTTGATTAAAATGGTACCTTTGATTTAAGGAATTTCCTTGTCTGTCGATGGACCCGGGCACTTTCAGTCAGCAAGTTCAACACTGGAGTAAGACTCTCCTTGAGTTTGTGACCCTGTAAAAGAGGAGTAAAAAGAAAGAGATTTAATCAACTCTACATTAAGTTTTCTATGCATGAAAATGGTTTGGAGTAATGGATTTTTTTTTTGAGTGAAAATCAACCATCTTAGTTAAAATTGCAGAGTAACTGCAGGTCAACAAGAGACTACATCATACTGACCAGAGCAATTCTCAAGACAAAAAAATATTTTTTTATGAAAGCCATCTACATAAACGTCATTTCTACATAAAATTTCTTCCCCAATTTTCTTTCAGCAACTGCTGCTATATATTTCATGTCCTACATATTCATGTCCTGACATATTCAATGTTTATATGTTCTGATATATTCAATGTTTTTTTATATAATGAATGCCCTAGCACATAGCCACATCTATTCAAGGTTTGATTCCAAAAAATCTCTGTAGGATCAAACCTAGTTAGTAATTAGAAAGAAAATTATCAAGACATCCCATAGTTATAGTCTAGACCAGGGCTTTTTTTTTTAACAAATTCACAGAAAAAGACAACTACAAATCACCTTTGTATTATTGCCAAAAGCCCCTACACATTTGTACAATCACTAAGAAGTCAGGTTGACTTGAGGGAGTCTTTTCTTTTTTACATAATGAATAATCCTAGCATTAATACATGCAAAAAGCAATATTCTCCTGCATGAATGTCTAACACAGTGTTTCTCAACCTTGACAACTTTAAGGCATGTGAACTTCAACTCCCAGAATTCCACAGCCAGCATTGCTGGCTGTGGAATTCTGGGAGTTGAAGTCCACATGCCTTAAAATTGCCAAGGATGAGAAACACTGGTCTAACTGGATGAGAATTGCTTTGTGTACAGATAGTCTTTGACTTCTCACCAGTCCCTTAATGACTATTCAAAGTTATAATGGACCTCCCCCCCCCAAAAAAAAAGTTACTTATGACCTGGTTCCAAAGTTCATCAGTGCTTGATGACTTTATTTCAAGATTTGGGGTTCATGAAAAGGAGCTTTCTAATCTCTATTTTTCACTGGCACCATAAAATAGTTTCAAAAACATGGTAAAGAAGATCTCTTCAGTGGTATGTGCTCAGTTATGCCCATGTCCTACAAGTACTTCACTGCCTTCTTCATCCTAAAATGTTTCTCTTTCATTTTTGGACGATGGAGAGTGCAGAAGCCTGTGTTTTGACTTTGTTGTGATTTCTAGCTCATCCTTATAAACTCTATGAATATTACCTTTAATGAGTGTTTTCAGGTATGTTTGCAAGTATGCCAGGATTTCTACAGTAGTATGCCTATTTGGGAAATAATGGCACCCTGCTAAGGGATGTTTACCTTGGCTATTTGATTCTCTCCTTAGCTACTTAATGTCTACTTTGGCTAAATACTGTTTGCCATTTTTGTCACAGGACCGCAAAGACATATACACTATTAAACTAGTTTGGAAGCGTATAAACATATACTGTACCTTGTTAAACTCTTATTTTGGCTATGGAGAAAATAGGGCAATGGGGCTATGATGACAATTAAACAGCAACATAGAGAAAATGAGAAAGCAAATCAGTGGTAATGTTTCCTATTCCAAAAATTAAATCTGCCTCTCAGAAGCTAGTAAGATGTTGTATCAACCAAACAACCAATGGGGCAATGCATTTCTGGAATATTCTCTATTCCAGGGCTTTTCAACCAGTGGTACGGGTACCACCTGTGGTACATTGGCACCTGGTAGGTGGTACGCNGCTTCTGCTGAGCCCAGAAGAAGCGCCGATCAGCTGGAATGTTGCAGCATCTCCAGGGTCTTGTGATTTACATTCAGATGCTTGGCAACTGATTCATATTTATGATGGTCACAGTGTCCCAGGGTCATGTGAAGTGACCAAAACCTGCTGCAACCACCCAGCAGATGGGGGGAATAAAAACCAAACACCCCACCCCACCCCCGCTGCCAATCCTCAACAGAAATGCTCACAACAATGAAAACCTCGGGCAGGGTGGGCAGGCAGGTGTCTTGCTCGGCTGTGGCTTGGGGGGCACTTTTTTCAGTGCCATTATGACTTCGAACAGTCACTAAGTGAACTGTTGTAAGTCAAGGACTACCTGTACTTCATTACTTTTTTCCTTTTTTGGGGGGGGTCATCAAGTTTTTGACATCTTGCTAGGCGACTGTGGTACTCGGATATTGCCATATCCTAAAAGTGGTACAATGGGTGAAAAGGTTGAAAAGCCCTGCTCTATTCAATCTACTCACATGTCAGATAATAACTAATAATTTATGCTGTTGCTACCTCTTTACTGCCAGGCAAATTGCCATTACATAAGTTTTCTTAGGGAGTGATAAATAATTAAAATGTCCATCTTCATGTGGTAGGGTAAATGTCATATATTTAAGCACAGGATGGACTCTTAAATGAATCCTAATCAAACATGGGTATCATCATAAATCAAAGTTGCTTGGGACAAGCAAGGAAGTTGTGAAAATGTTTTGCTTTACCCACCCTATCAAGACGTCGATCAAGGAAACTCAGGAGAACATTGACAGCATCCATATTGACTCCCATGTATTCAAGGGAGCCTCGGTGGACCTTGGGAGTCAGCAAAACATCTAAACACCTGAGAGGAAGATTGCCCAAAAGATTGATTGTATGGCTGAAGGGAGGATAAAAGGCAAAACAGGAAGAAGTTAGCAACCAATATAAATGAAAGGCTGTTTCATTCTGAAAACTCGAGTACTTTCTAGGTTTTAGCAACAGGAGAACAAATTTCAAATTGTGCCGTGTCTAACAACAGCAAACCCTTCCTTTTTAGTTCAAGCTTCCATCATCTTCTCCTCCATCTGCTGTTATATAGCCATTTTTACAGCAGAAGTCCGGTAGAAGTCACAAATTTGACAGATCTCTTGTTCATAATGTGTAATGTACCCACTTAGTATTATTTATTAAATGTACAGTATATGTGTCTCTCCTTACACAACAATTAACATAGTTTACAATAGTTCAAAACACAAATGATAAAATACAAGAGTAATACCAATTATAAATAAATTCAAGGCAAAATTACAATTCACATCAATGAAATCAAAGTTAGTTCAACTAATGAAAAGCAGTGGAAGAGAGGCATTTTCACTATTTTCTTAAATTCCTACTATGAGATCACTAGGGAAGGATTTCTCCCCTGTACTACATAGGCAAATTTCCAGCAGTGCCTTTCCTGCTGATAATGTTTATCTCTATATAAAATTATTATTGCCTGTGTCTACATCAAGCAGAATACTAAAAAAACTCTACTTTTTTAATACTCTACATAAGCTGCCTAATTTTTCAACACTAAAGCAGTCTCAGTCATAGCATTCTTTTTTCACTTCTAAGAATTACTGTATACTATATTAGGGACCACATTTTTCTCTTTTAATAATTTTATTAAACTGATCAAAGTATAAAATACAAATAAAAATAATGAGAAAAGGGGAGGGGAAAGAAAAAAGTGTACGGTAAAGGGGAAAAAAGAAAGAAAAGCACTGATCTGACTCTTTTTAGCACAGTAGAATAAGATAAAAACATACTATCTCAATTTTTTACTTTTACATAATGTGTACTCCACAAACCTATCTAATCAGCAAAACCTGAAGTCAATGTTTTTTTTCCCATCTCGAAATGGAAGTGATTTACAGGTAGATATTGGGGCACATAAGTAGGATACTACATTTATTTTACTATGCAAGGAGATACATGGTTTTTGTTTAACAGTGGGAAAAATATTTTAAGCAACATAGTCCAATTTATTTAGCTGTTCTATAGTTACTATAAAATTTCCACACTTTCCCCCTTCTTCCCCTATTTTTATTACTAAACCTACCAACTATCAATAGTTTAATATTGTTATATGTATTTTATATTTGTTGTATTGGTAATATAGACAATCACCTGTGAAATTCTTCTGTCCGATCATCGCCATCTGCTGAAATCATCAGGCAGTGACGGAGAAGGGCACCTAGACGTCGGTACAGAGCAGCATCTTCCTGGCCCAAAAACAAAATTAAAACCTTTATTACGAGAAAAGAGCTCATTTTTTTTTATTTTAGGCAATCTGCTTATTGACACATACTGTTCCAGCAATGCATTTTCAGAATCAAATATACATTTGAGTTCAAGGGGGAAATGGCATACATGGAATTTGAAAATCTGCAAAGCAAATTAGCATGCACAAAACAAAGGATCTGCAAATTCCTGGTTCCCTAATTTGTGACAAATTGCAAAGCCATAGCCACAGATGAATTAGCATAACTGCCTTATCTGGCATTTATTTCCCTACGTCCCTTCATGTATGTCTACTGTATACCCACAATTTTCTCCAAGTTTTCTTTCCTCAAAATGTCAGATTTTGCAAAATAACAAGAAAAAGTTAGGTAATAAGAATGCAAGACTGAGAATAAAATAACTGCTATTATCAACAAGGCAAATATCACAATAGAATCAAGCTAGGTTCATGAAGAATTGAAATTTCCAATTTTAAAAGAAATAAAAGACAAGTAATGGCAACGCTTTCTTAGAAATTATCTAAAATATACAACATTTTGGCTTTTCGTCCAGCCATTTCAGATTCTTCAATAATTTGCTGAGTTTTTGATCACAAGTAATATGTGTTGGATTCCTATTCCAGAATTTCCAACCAATACAATCATGTAGTCTAATACATTTGGAAGGTATCATGATGGGGAGATTTATTTTAAGCCAGTAGATCTGTTCTCCCCATCCACTTTAACAGTATAATCAGGCATACAAATTTAATAGGTCTTTAACTTTTCCTGAAAGCCAGTTTGATTAAATATAACAGTCTAGAAACCAGGAGATTAGGAGTTCCAGTCCTGCCTTAGGCACAAAGCCAGCTGGTTGACTTTGGGTCTGTCACTCTTTCTTGGCCCTGGGAAAAAGGCCATTTCTAAAAAAGTTGTGAAGAAAATTGCAGCAACCACCCAGTCACCAGGGATCAAGATTGACTTGAAGGAATAATAATAATAATAATAATAATAATAATAATAATAATAATAATAATAATAATAATAATAATAATAATAATAATAACAACAACAACCACCACCACCACCACCACCACCACCACAACAACAACAATTTATTTCCCTAACTTTTCAAAGCCAAACTATGTTGAAAAATTTGAGCAACTGGTACCAGAGGGAACTATCATATTTTAAAATAATGGAAGCAAACAGGATTTTACGTATTTGCAATATAGAAATAAATGGCTTTAAAGAAATAGTATCATAAATCATTTTTGTGGCATGTATATATAACCAAGAAACCTTGTTATAGCGAGTCACTACATGCACAAAAGCAGTTCATTGGGCAAATACATAAACACATACATAGAATAAGTTTGAAACTAAGAAGAATCACATTATGTAGTTTGAAGAGTCGAAAAAATCCAATTTAATGGAACAGATGGGGGTCAAGGAACTGATGCTATGTTTCTATTGAAACATAGTTTATGACATTATAAAGAAGTGCTGGGTAAATAATATCCATGATATAACTATGACATAATAATATCTGCTTGTTTGGCCTGGTCATTTGGAAAGGGTCTCCTGAAGTCCCCCACTCCTTGGAAGGTGCCTGCACCCTGAACAAGAGAGCAAACCTTCTCAGTGGTAACCTGTATTTTATGGAACTCTTTTCCCTTAGAGGCAACAAATAATTCATGCCATCCTTGCATTTCCAAAACAAGTGAACAATGCCCTATTTAACGTGCCTTCAGCCCAAAACAATTGAGAACTGCTTTATAGCTTTATGTTTCCTTACAAGTTATTACATTATTTTTTACTTTTATTATAACCACCCAGGCATTTGGGATTGGATTGGCCTAGAAACACAGTAATTAAGCAAATAAGGGGGAGAGCTGTGGGGCAATTAATGCAAGTTTCCTCTTATAATCTGGAGTTCATTCCTGGTGTATCCCAGATGTGGACATCCAGGAAGACTTGAAACATGTCCCTAACTATAGGAATCATAGGTGAAATGAAATGGTGAATACAGGTAGTCCTCAACTTACGACCACAATTGGCATCATAATTTCTGTTGCTAAGCAAGACAGTTGTTAAATGAGTCATGAGCAAATTATGACCTTTTTTGCTATTGTTGTTAAGTGAATCACTGCAGTGGTTAAGTGAATCGTGTGATCATTTAGCCAATCTAGCTTCTCCCTTTGACTTGTCAGAAGCCAGCCAGGAAGGTCACCAATCACATGATCCTGGGGGTCTGCAACCATTATAAATACATGCCGGATTTCAAGCGATGGCTGTTAAGTGCGAGGACCTGTTATAATTCACTTTGTTCAGTACTATTGTAACTTTGAACAGCCGCTAAACAAATGGTTGTAACTTGAGGACTACCCGTAAAGAATAAAGACGATGAATGAAATACTCAGTGTCATTTCTGGGTGTCTTACCTCATCCACTTCCTTTTTGTTGGTATCAAAAGTGACATTGAAGAGGATCTTCAGGATTTCCATAGCACGCTCTGTCTCCTGCCGAGGTAATGGCAGGGAAGGATCCCCTTTAGCAGCTACCTCATGAGGATCAATCCATTTTACTCCCAGGGTAAGTTCCAGGGTATCTGTCATTAAACCAATACCTCGAAGTTCTTGTGCAACCTGCTGCCGAACATCCACCCTTAGTGCCGTCAATAAAAAGAGAAGGCGCAAGTCAAAGAATTTTATCTCATGGGGGAAGTTTCTCTCATTATAGAGTTTGATGCGATCTGTAAGGCCCACCACAAACCGAGCCTCAGACATCAGTTCTTGAGCCCGGGGACTACTGAAGACAATATTACAGAGGCACTTAAGTGCCTCCAGAATTACATCCAGATCAGGAACCTCCAGGATTTGCTCTTCCCTGTAAACAATCCCAGCATGCCTGGCTAGTGTCTTCAAACTTTCCATGGTGGTGAAAGGGCCAAGGCATTTTTTATCCCGGGACAGAATTCGTATGCTTTCCAAGCATGTCACTTGACAAGATGGCTGGAGAACTCTCTCCAAGAACTTGATCAGAAGCATGGCCAGTTTCTAAAATATCAGAAAGGAGATATAAGAATAGATCTGGTAGTAAATCAATGAAGTTCTGCATAAGACAAGAAGGACTATCTATGTTTGCACTTATACAATTTCAAAAGTCCAATAAAATCTAATGTATCTTAAACCCATACAGTGTGTTCAGATCCTCAGTTCTATTTCTATCTGCAAATGAGCAATGTTACTACAACATTCACTTTATAATATCCCAAGTTGACATATAGCAATTAAAACATGCCCCTTACTTCTTAGGTTTAAGCTGTAAATGTCTTATATAGACAAAACAGGCTTGGAGAAACTCTTGAGATTTTCAAAATTTAAGGGAAATGGAAATCCAGAAATAATTTAATGATGACTGAGTATGCTTAGTGATTATTTTATGCAGATTGATGCTTGGAGGGAGAAAAGTGGAAAGAGGAAGGCCCCGCAGCAAAGAGACTGAACAGTATTTCTCCTCTCTGCAGTATGGCATTGACAGCATCAATTTATGGCGAAGAAGATGGCATACAAGATGGCAGCCAGCCAGCAATTCAGCCCCTTGCTTCCATCTTCACTCAACATGCTTGCATTGCAAAAAGTAGGGGATTTTTTTTTTAAAGTAATGACTGAATAAGCAAATCAGCAAAACCTTCCAGAGATATCTGCAGGGCCACTGGGTTAAGGGGTGGAGGGGATAAAGAAAGCCACATCACACTGTCATGGGACATTTGTTTGTGTATTATGACCTCACACACATGCATGTGGCTTTTTCTCTCTGGATGCCCTTGAAGTCACCCCACATAATGCATGAAGAGGGAAGTACTGTAGTTACCAAGTATACACTGCCATGGCTAAAGGAGAGAAACAAATCTCAGGAGCCAGAAGGCAGAGTTACTCCAATGATAAACTATCTACCTACAGCTTGGACAATGTCATGAGGGCTTAGGGGGAAGGGAGAGGATGCCAGGGCATGTCTGTACTGCAGATACAGTAGATGTAAGTGGCGAATGGGCCTTAGTCATAACACTGCCAGAAACACAAAGCCTGGCAGTGCAAAAATTACTTTAACTGGGCAGTCATATGTTCACTATAGAGTTGCGCTATTCAGAAAGAGGGAAATGCATTCAGATTCAGATAATTTTACTAAACCTACTTGACTTTGGTCTCTGTATGTCAACAATGCAGCAGATAGTATTTGATTTCCACAATAGTTTTTCAGACATCAAACATGGACTTCTTTGTCACTTGGCAGGCAGCATGGCCCCAGAAGCAGGACAAGCAGTCAATTCCCAGGTGGGCAGAGGGAGGCAGACTAGACATTCTCCATCTCTATATGGGACTACCCTTGAAGAGTATTTGGAACCTTCAGGTGATGCAAAATGCAGCAGCACAGGCAGTTATATTCCTCATAGAACACATTACCCCTCTGGTCTGTGAGCTGCATTGGTTATCAGTTTGTTTCCAGGGTCCAACTCAAGGTCCCATTTTTGACCTTTAAAGCCCTGCATGGCATGGGGCAAGTTTTTTGAGGGACTGCCTAATTTTTTACATTTTCCCATCCCACCAGATCTAGTAGAAAGGGAATGCTGCAGATTCCCTCATTTAGGGAGTTACATTTGGTGGGCGCTAGGTGGCAGGTCTTCTTGTCTATGGTGCCTGTGTTATGGGATATCCCCCCCCACCCCACCCCCAAGGTTAGGCTGGCACCATCCCTTCTGACTTTCTGAAAATTCTTCAAGACCTGGTGGTGCTATCAGGTCCGGGGATTTCAGGGAATTTGGTGAGGTAGCTCCATTATTATGAACATCCCTTTGGCCGTTGTATTATTTTCTGCTACGTTTTATTTAATGTTTTCAGTTAATAATAGGTGTTATTTGTGTATTGCCGTTTTTTTTTTAACTTTGTTGTACATTGCCCAGAGTAATTTGTTTCCTGACATGGCTGGCTATATAAAATTTAAAAATAAATAAATGAAATCTCAATCTCTTGCTCCTACCTCTTAAATACAGAACCAACTTGTTTAGTATCAGACCTTCCCATCTGCCCCCACCTCTTTCGATGGTGTTAAAAGTATGCTTATCGTTGGCTCCTTTCCATTATGAAAATATGATAATGAGCTATTTATGCAGCTCATATCTATTACCATTTTAGGTTGGCATTTGGCTCTTGGGCAGGATCCACGGTTGAGGAATTTGCTGTTACGATATGGAATCCAGCGGTGGGACTTTTATGGCTCCAGCCTAGTGTGGGAACTGATGGCCTACCCTGCTCTCGGGTGAAAGGATATGCTTATGATCAGCTCACAGTAAGATGGAGTATAAACAACTCTGCTCCCTCCCAATATAATCAGTTGGTAGACAAGAGCATGTTCAACAGCAGGCAAGCAAGTCAAGAGAGGTTCATGCTCTATGGCAGGAGTCTTCAAACTTGGCCCTTTTATGACTTGTGGACTTCAACTCCCAGAATTCCTGAGCCAGCATGGCTGGCTCAGGAATTCTGGGAGTTGAAGTCCACAAGTCATAAAAGGGCCAAGTTTGAAGACCCCTGCTCTATGGTATTCTAGCTGTAACAATACAGTTTAGGACTAATCTCAGTAAAGTTTGCGAGCTCTTCCTTGATGTTCCCTGAATCTATTACCACAATAGATTTATGTTGGAGCATCATAGATAAATGTGGTGAGATTTAAATACCTTTGGGATTGATGTAATAACATTTGTGGATAAGGAAGCATCTGATAAGTAGGAAGAGGGAAAAAAAAGAAGCTATATCAGCTTTCTCCTCCAGTAATAAATGGAAGAAAGATATCGGCATGCAGATGATATTTTCATCTCTGCTCTTATTGTTGAAAAATAATAATTCAAGGAAGGAAAGTATTGTTGCTTTTGGTGTGTGTTTCTGATCAATAAAGTTGTCTTGAATATAGGATTTTGTGTTTAATGAAGAACTTGTTTTCTTTTGATCACCCTGTTACATACCCCATCCATCTTGCCTTCCAAGTTGAGCAATAATACATTAAATGCAGACAAACAGTATAAAGCAATCCTGTACATTGTGAATATATAAAAGCACCAGTGCTTTTTAAAACAGTTAATAAGACTTCAATAGTTGTCTATTAAATAGTAATATTTAAAACAGATATAAGAGCAGTATGGTGTGCATAGATTTTCAACAGCATGTGTCAATGGTATGTAACGGTAAGAAGATCACAATGATAAGATAGGCAAATGTTTTTGGATATAATATAGAATTAGAAAAATGGCAAAATTTATGGGAAAGAAATTATAAACTGACAATGTCAACTTCCTACAAAGAAAATTTATATAAAATGTTTTATAGATGACACTTGCCACCAGCAAGACTAGCAAAAATGTTTAAAAACATGTCAGATAGATGTTGGAAATGCAAACATAAGTCAGGCACTTATTACCATGTTTGGTGGACATGTGCCAAAGCAAAGAATTACTGGAAAAAGATGCATGCCTGGCTAGAAAAGATGTTAGGAGAACACGTAGATTTTAAACTTGAACTTTTTTTATTAGGTATAATGCCAGAAAAGACGTAAACAAAGCATATATTTGACTTTGCATGTTACAACAGCGGCAAGAATTATATTTGCACAATATTGAAAAAATGAAGGAATACCATCAGATGAATAATTAAAAAAATATTAGAATGCGCAGAGATGGATAGACTGACTCTGAGATTGAAAGAAAAAGAAGAAACGGAATATTATCAAACTTGGGACTTATTTTATCGATGGCTAGAGGAAAAAATAAAGGAATAGGAACTAAATATGTATTAGTGAATGTAAATTCAGACAGCACATTTGTTGAATAAATCTAGACCCGCTTCAGTCGGGCTTCAGGCCGGGATACAGCACGGAAACGGCATTGGTCACATTGGTGAATGATCTCTGGAGGGCCCGGGGACAGGGGTCATTCCTCTGTCCTAGTTCTTTTGGACCTCTCAGCAGCTTTTGATACTGTGGACCACGGTATCATGCTGCGGCGCTTGGTGGAGTTGGGAGTGGGGGGCACCGTTATGCGGTGGTTCTCCTCCTTCCTCACCGACCGCACGCAGTCTGTATTGGCAGGGGGACAGAGGTCGACCCCAAGGCCCCTAACTTGTGGGGTGCCACAAGGGTCGGTCCTCTCCCCCTTATTGTTCAATATTTATGTGAAGCCGCTGGGGGAGATCATCCGTGGCTTTGGGGTGGATTTCCATCAGTACG